TTTTTTGCAGTTTATGTTTTCATGAGTCCACCAGAGGCCGCTGTATGCTTTTTCAGATGTCAAATTTCTCTCGCGAGTACCATTCGTACCTGCTGTTTTCACGTAAATCCACCACAGGCTGCTGCCGACTGACTGATTTACAGACTGACCAACCGACCGATCCCCACCCTCCCCCTTCCCTAAACCCAAGCAATAGTATTTTATAAAGCACAGATTGACCCGCCCACCCTCTTCCCTAAACACAACTGCAGTATTTTGAAAAATAGAAAAAAAAAGAAAAGCCCCTTATTTTTACCATGTTTTCAGATTTTACCATGTTCTCACCCTGTTTTTACTCATTCACTCATTTATTCAATTTCTTTTCAGCTTAGTCCCTTTATTAATCTGGAGTCGCCACAACAGAATGAACCGCCAACTTATCCAGCATATGTTTTTTACGCAGCGGATGCCCTTCTAGCTGCAACCCATCTCTGGGAAACATCCATACACACTCATTCAGACTCATACACTACGGACAATTCAGCCCACCCAATTCACTTGTACAGCATCTTTTTTTACTGTGGGGAAAACCGAAGCACCCGGAGGAAACCCACGCGAATGCAGGGAGAACATGCAAACTCCTCACAGAAACGTCAACTGACCCAGCCAAGGCTCAAACCGGCGACCTTCTTGCTGTGAGGCGACAGCACTACCTACTGCGCCATAGGGTCGCCCCCCTGTTATTAACTTATTTCATTTTTTAGCTTTTGTTTTTGTCTTACCTGCTTTCTGAAACCGTTCTTCACAGGACTCGAACCCCATTGTTGCCTCAACTCTGCGTCTTAAGTCCACTAACGTATGTGTTGAGCTACCGGACAAAATGATAACAGCGGGAAAGCCATGCATACGGAGGTAATTAGTCAGCTGGTAAGCGCAAAAAGGAAAGTTGTCATACCACCCCATCGCATTTATTTTAAAGATGAAATGCAGCCATACGTAGCTTTGGCTACATAATTCACGATCTCCAAAAGCATATATATGGCTTAACTTTCAGAATGAGCCTGTAATGGATTTACCAGAATAATTTTGCATTTTGGCACTTTGCAATAAATAACTGCTAAATAACCTAAACATTTGTTGCAGATTTAGTTGAGCATATTTATTTTTGTATGGTTTACACTGGTATTCATCTGCTTTGCAATCAAACTAAACAAAAATGTCATGCCTGAGAGAGCTTCTCTCAATGATACCAAACCAAAACACAGGAAAAGACTTTTGTCCTGAACAATGTCAACATGGGACACATAAAAACAAATGAAATCCATGTGAGAGGACATGAGGTCCTTTGAAACGAATACCCACTCTGTGTATGGGTCGAAAAAGGGCTGAATCCAGCAGCTCTGTTAGTTAAATACACTTTTATCCATCCTAGCTAAAAAACCCTAAACCCTACACTCAAAACAGCTGGATTTACACTAAGACGGTATGAACCAATAATCCTTTGCCCCAGGCATCAATATGGGGCTTTACCCACAACAAATTACTACTCCAAGACTTTGTATTTTGAATTCAGACCTACAGAGATGCTTTTAAACCAACATAGGCTCATTCTGAAAACGTATCCCTATATACATTTCTGGAGATCACGAAATATGTAGCCAGAAGTACGTATGGCTGCATTTCATTTTTAGAACAAACACTTTGGAGTGGTATGACGCTGTTCCTTTTCACGCTTACCAGCTGACCGATTACCTCCATATGGATGGTTTTCCTGAAACCAGTTTATCTGGTTAGCTTGCCATGTAAGTTGGTTGACTTGAGACAGAGAGGAGATGAGCACGACAACAGGGTTCGAGTCTGATGAGGAACGGTTCCAGAAAGCAGGTAAGATAAAAACAGAATCCAAAAAATTCAATAAAGAAGTAAATAACGGTGAGAATGTGGTAAAACGTGGTGAAAATCAGGTGAGGGCTTTTCTTTTTCTGGATTGCTTTTTCAAATTGTTGGTTGGGTTTAGGGAAGTGGGTGGGCGGGTCAGTCTGTGCTTTTGAAAATACTATTGGTTGGGTTTAGGGAAGGAGGAGGTTGGCTCAGTCGATTGGTCAGTCAGTCAGTCATTCAGTCAGTCAAAACCGGGCTCTGGTGGATTTCCGTAAAAACAACAGGCACAAATGGCACTCAAAATTCAATCTGAAAAAGCGTACACAGCGCGAAAAAAAGAAAAAAAAACGTAGCTTCTGGGACTTATTTGGTGGTCTCCAGAAATGTATATAGAGGTACGTTTTTTTAGAATGAGCCTGGGTTGCTTTAAACCATTTCAACTTGATAAGTATGTTGTGTTTTCAAATCTGGAACCACAAACAAGTTTGAAATTAACTTTTCACAGTTACCAGCCATTCAGAATTTTTAAATGCTAATAAAAAACATCAGTAATAACAATTAGTGATGATTAAATCTACAGCTTAGATATAAAAAAAAATCTATCTCATTCTCAATAGTTTTTCGCAGATACAAAATCTGGGAACTATTTATCTGTAGTGTCTTTGTTAAATGTATTCAATATAGTAATAACAGTTGGTACATTTACTTAATAAATATTATTCATTAAATATAATAATAAATACATAAATTAGTTGTTATGTGTATCGTTACGATGTAACAAAAACACTACAATATGTGTGACCCAAAAATCTTTGTAATTTATCTTAAAACCTCTAACAGCAAATGTTTCGTCATAAATTCCAAATTTAGCTCACTTCAAATTGATTGTTCAATGGTAAACACTGAAGATAAGCAAACAGGCTATAAATTCATAAAGCGATAAGTTATTATTTCACAGACTGGTTGCGCCATTCTGTATGTGCATTCTAATCTTCAAGGTGGTACTTGAAAACAGTTAATCTAATCAGCGGCAGGCAAAAGTTCACTTTTTTAAAGTGGCTTTGAGTTGAAATGAGTTTAAAGTAAAAAAAAAAAAAAAAAAAGTCAACTCGAAGTGAAAGGGACGTCAATAGCTTTTATACTTACTTTAAAGTTGTGGCTTCTCTCTCAGTTTGCAAACCTCTTTATGCTTTATTTTTCTAATGTTTGATCTTTTAAGGGGAGGGCCCTGATCATGATTACATACAAATTGAAAGATTCATAACCTGAAAAATTGGCTAAAGCATTGATATACGTTGCCCACCACTGTAGATTTTCACACACATTTACTAGGTTTTTTGTGTTCACTCCAATAACTGATCTATACAGTTTTGTTTTGGGCAAGTATGCTAGGGGTGTGTCTGGAGGTTCGGAGTCTTTTAATTGACATTTATTACCAGAGTTTGAAACAGCATGTAGTTGACCTTAAATGAATTTCGATAGGTAATTTGCAAAAGTATTCTGTTGCTAAGGCATGTCAAACGTCTTTGTACCTTTTAGCAAAAATACATTGTCTGTTCAATTTTATATGACTAAATTTTAATCACTGGACCTTCAAAAGTAAGACTGGACAACACTGAGTAAGCTTTTAATTGTAGAGACACACCGTTAAACACCACACCAAACAAAAAGTAAAGAAGGAATGAAAACTATGTGTCTGAGAAATGCTAACCTTGGTGTTGTTTTGCAATAATATGGGACGAAACAAAATAAAAAATGACTAGTACACACCAGACAGACTAAACAACAGCTACCAGCATGTAGGCATGTTTTCTTTCTCAAAGACCTCAACCAGTTATTTGACATGCAGAACTGGACAAAAGCAGCTGACTATGTCTGATTAAAACCCAAATAAATTGAAAGCTGACCAGCACTTTTTTAAAACACCTGCCATCGCCTGCTGGCCACCTATCAGCTGGTGTGTTCCCAGACTTAGGCCCCGTTTACACTAGTGCGTTTTAGTTTTAAAACGGCGTTTTAGAATGAAAACGATCCGCGTCCACACTCGCGTTTTACCCAGCGTTTCTGAACTGCTCTCCGTCCACACCAAAACGCTGAAAACGCACATCACGTGACCACACACACACACTTTGGCAATCGCTGGAGCCCATCTACCCAGATGAGAGCTCTGCTAGTCGGACTTCTCATCAAGCATCTCCCGCTGGATCTAATCTCACTATATTTATTAAACGTGATATTTCATTCATCTTGTTGTCTTTATCTAACGACATATTCCCTGACTTTGGTCATTGGAATCTATTACTTGTTCTCAGGTAACGTGTTTTGGCTGAGCGCAAAGATAAGTTAATGATTAATGTAACCACGTAGCCTACATTCTGTATATTGACTGATCGCTTGCCTTTATTTCCTATGATGTATAAACTTATTGTATGTTATACTTTTATAATGGCCATAATCGATTATTAAAACTGATATTCAGCAAAAGAGAGGGTGTGTTTCGTATTTTCATTGAAATTGAAAGGAGGCAGTTGTTATCGGCTCCGTTTTGTTATAAATATCCACACAGTGAAGATGACGCTCATGCAGCACGACGCCTCAACATTTCTGCTGTCTGTTTAGTTGTTAATATTAAAATAAAAATAGGCAGTTCTTATATCAAGTTTACATTTTATTGTTGAGAAAGTGAAACAACGTGGCCAAGGTGATGTGAATGAAGTTATAAAGTACACGGTTCCCTGTGAAGATTGACGCGTGTCCTCGGTATGTTTTCCATATCAAACTGAGAAGAAGAGATGCAGCCGTGATCAAACTTGCGAAGTCTGAACTTACACGGAGAAGATTCAGGACTGAACTGTGTGTTAGGCTACGTAATATTGAGGAAAAGCCCCAATCAGAGAGGCGAATGTCTGCAGCCCCGCCTCCGTTTTCAGATGTCTCCGTCTTTCCCCATCCACACTGAGACGGAGCAGCGGCGTTTCAGAATGAAAACGGCCTCTCCAGCGTTTTCGAAACGCTCCGTTTTCGGCGCTCGAGAACTCCGGCGTAGTGTGGACAGATGGCGTAACCGTAGCAAAACTTATGCGTTTTCAAACTAAAACGCATTAGTGTAAACGGGGCCTTAAAGATGAGTCTGTTTATACCTCTTTAGTCTTGATCACCCTTCCTTCCTTCTGCAGGCCACAGATCTGTTTCTGTAGTCGGAGGTTATGTTCTTGTAGCTGTCCAATCTTCTCTATGAGTTGGCAGATGTGCTCTAGATATCCCAGTCCAGAGCCCAGTGGGTTGGATTGACAGGCCTGGTTCACCTGGTTGACAAGATGAAACAGAGACAAAATCATTTTATTATTATTTTGTTTATTTTTGTGTCGCTGGACACTAGGACTGCTCCCTTGGAGAAAGACCCCCACTTCTCTCTGGACAATAGGTATACTTTAAATAAAGGGATTACTGAGACATTTGGGGGGCGGGGCTAAGCAACTTTTGTGGAGTAAGCCAAGAAGAACAGTGTGAACAGCATCCTATTGTTTAAAAGCTAATGGCTTTATTTATGTGCTAATAAACACAAAGAAAAGCAAAGGTTCTTACAGTAGAGATCCTTCCAGTGAACCAGAAGATTTTTAAAGTGATGATGTAAGACATAATAATCTCCACCTACTGTTTAACGCTAAAAACTTTTTACAATCAATGTAAAATTCCTAATATGATTTTTAACAGCTATGAACACAGATTCAGGCAAACAATGACAGACTTTTCCAATAGTTTTCAACATTTAATTTAAATGAGAACAGATTTCAATAGTCAACGGTACAACATTGATATTTAAAACCAATACTGAAATGTTGTGTATTAAAATGGATTTAAATTAATATTTACTGTACATATTGCACAATCCCCGTGTAGACTTTTGCTCCTAACTGAAGAGATGAAAAGTTAATTTTTTTTCAGTTAAATGTTGAGAAGAAAATTGTAACTGATACTGTTATTTTGCTCCTGAATCTAAAACGTAACTGGTCCTACTTTATATTAAGTGTCCTTAACTACTATGTACTTACATCAAAAAATAAACACAATGTACTTACTGTGTTCATAAAGTATTTGAGAACACTTGTGGTGCTCTTGAGTATGGATAGGGGTTGGGTTAGGGACAGGTTTGGTGGTGTGGGTAGGTTTAAGGGTGGGTTGAGGTGTAGGGAATGGTCAGCAGTGTATTTACAAATGTAATTACAGAAGTTAATTACAGATGTAATTAAATACAGGTATTTAATCAAGCATAAGTACACAATAAATACATGTATTTACACTATAAGTACATTGTAACAAACTATTAATTCTATTGTAAGTACATATTAGTTAAGGCCACTTAATATAAAGTGGGACTAGGTAACTAGTTTAAAGGTGTGATTTATCTGTAGCAAGTGTTTTATCTTTATTTGTTGACTAATCCTTCCATCATTGGTTGCAAAGGTGCAGACGTGCACGTTTAAAAAAAAAATCAAAAGAAATTTCAAACAAATATTTATACAATCATCAACATTCCGAAAAGTGTCCCAACAAAAGCAGGATGTGAGTTCAGTTCTCAGGCCTTTTCCCTCCAAAAGCTTTTCCATGCCACTTACGTCCAATCCAGTCCCAAAGCCCAGCAATAATGGAAACACAGGGGCTAAACAATAGAAGACATGACGGAGAGATGAAATACTAGAAGCTGACATCACTCGTTTCCTCAGACAGAGTGTGAGATCCTCGGCAGGTCACGCTTCTCCCTTGACCATGAACTTTTCTCATGCCTTCCTGGTAGTAGTATTTTACTTTACAATCATAATTACATCATTGCTTCAAATGAATTTGTAGCTTCGTGAATCAAAATTACACATGGATCTTGTTAAAGATTATACCAGGGGCACTGGTGAGCCAATGAAGTCTAATAATACTCTAATAGAAATCTTCTGGTGAGAAAAGGTAGAGTACAGTAAGAATTTTTTTTTTACTATAGGTAAAATAGGTGTAGATTACCTGTTTACAGCTGGTATTTAAATGCATTTTAGTTGATCTTATCACAAGTAAATACCTGATGTTTTAATTAATCTATCCCAGCTAGCAAAATTCATGTGGCTCAAATCCGGCCCATATACCACATAGAATGATGGCACTTGGGCAATCTGCTCCTGTTTGCCAGATCTGGGCCACAAAATAAGCCACAGCAATGCCACATATCAGCCATAATTCAACCAAATGAACCAGAACTGACCCTATTCAAAAGGTGTTAAATGTCAAAGAGCTATGATTTGAACCCTATAATAATCAAAAAATCACTGTATTTGATCTTTACCAAAAGTGACCTTTTTATATATTGGTAACACTTTACAATAAGGTTCATTATTTAATGCATTTACTAACATGAACTAATCATGAACAACACTTGTACAGCATTTATTAATCATATTTGAACATTTACTAATGCATTATTAACATTCAAGTCCACGCTTGTTAACATTAGTTAACGCACCCTGAGTTAACATGAACTAAATAAATGAATAAATAAATAAATACTGTAGTTAATGTATTGTTCAATGTTTTTTCATGTTAGTAAATGCATTACTTAACATTAACTAATGAACCTTATTGTAAAGTGTGACCCATATGTTTTAGGATAACAGTACCATACTTGCCTCATTTTACCACAGCTGCTTTGAGCGAAAACCACCTTTATCCAGAGATACTTACCCATGTTTGCCATATCTCATCTGGGCAACTATAGGCTCACAGCAACATTAACCAGAGCTTACTGTGCCGAATATTTGCCAAAAGTGGTCCACATATGTTTTAAGATAACTGGGCCACATTTGCTAAATCTTCTCTGGGTCACTTTAGGCTCACAGCCACATTAACCAGAGCTTGTTGTGCTGAATATTCACCAAAGGTGGCCCACATATGTTTTAAGATAACTGGGCCACATTTTCCATGTCTTCTCAGGGCAACTATAGGCTAACAGCCACATTAGCCAGAGTTTACTGTGCCAAATACTTGCCAAAAGTGGCTCACATGTGTTTTAAGATAACTGGGCCACATTTGCTATATGTTCTTGGGCCACTTTAGGCTAACAGCCACATTAGCCAGAGCTTACTTTGCCGAATATTCGCCAAAAGTGGCCCACATTTGTTTTAAGGTAACTGGCCCACATTTGTCATATCTTCACAGGGTCACTTCAGGCCCAAAGCCAAATTAGCCAGAGCTTACTGTGCTGAATATTTGCCAAAAGTGGCCCACATTTGTTTTAGGATAACTGGGCCACATTTGTCATGTCATCTCTGGGCCACTATGGACTCAAATCCACATTAGCCAGAGCTTGCTGTGCCGAATATGCACCAAAAGTGGCCCACATCTGTTTTAAGATAACTAGGCCACATTTTCCATATCTTCTCTGGGCCGATATAGGCTAACAGCCACATTAGCCTGAGTTTACTGTGCTGAGTATTTGCCAAATGTGGCCCGCATGTGTTTTATGATAATTGGGCTACATTTGCCATGTCTTCTCTGGGTCTCTTTAGGCTCAAATCCACATTAGCCAGAGCTTGCTGTGTAGAATATGCACCAAAAGTGGCCCACATCTGTTTTAGGATAACTGGGCCACATTTTCCATATCTTCTCTGGGCTACTATAGGCTAACAGCCACATTATTCAGAGTTTACTGTCCCAAATATTTGCCAAAAATGACCCACATATGTCCTAAGATAACTGAGCCATTTGCACTTACACATGTGAGCCACCTTGGGTTTAGACCCAGATTAGCACTAAAGGACTATGCCACATTTTTGCCAACTGTGGCCCACATTTGTCTTTCCTCATTGATAATTTTCCACATGGGCCACATTAGGCTCACATTCAGATTACATTTGTCCATCAGTGCCAAATCTTTCCCTTTAATGGCCCCTTTTTGCCTTTATACAGGTGGGCCACTTCAGGCTCACATTCATTTTGTCTAGGTCAAAGGAAGACCACCAGTGCCCACATTCATATACTATCTGGGTATTTGCCCATTTTCATCCACATTCTTGACTTCTTACAGAATATGGCTTAGAGGCGGGTGTATGGGTAGGTTTTGATCTAAGTATGTCAATGAAGCTCACAAAATATGAATAAAAAGGAAACAAGGTCAAAAGAATTTTTTTCTTATCTGTTGATGAACTACACTGAAGGCTGTGGGGTCCTCGATGATGAGTCAAGAGCACAAGACTGGGGGGTGGGGGGGGGGGGGTCACCACAGAGGAATGAACCACCAACTCATCCAGCAAGTTTTTACGCAGCGGATGCCCTTCCAGCCGCAACCCATCTCTGGGAATCATCCACACACATTCACACACACACACTCCTACACTACGGACAATTTAGCCTACCCAATTCACCTGTACCGCATGTCTTTGGACTGTGGGGGAAACCGGAGCACCCGGTTATAGATCTCATTGCTACAACCACCAGTTGAGCTACTTGGACCAGCAACTGAGCTTGGTTTCTCCCAAGGTTTGTTCTCTACTTCTGTCAATTGGTGGAGTTTTGGTTAACTGCCACAGTCACTTCTGACTTGCTTGATTGGGACTAGTGGAGTTGTTCTTCAGTGGATCATCCTTAAAAAGGGACATTTGTAATACAATGAAATATTTTTCAATTTAATGTTTCAACCAGTATTCTTCCACTACTCCACTACAAATGTCAACATATACTCATAAAATAATCCTCTACTTCTGCCAATTAAATATAACAAGCTACAACTGAAACAGTGCAATCTTTCAGGCTTTATGTGAAAGAACAACAGTCATTCTCTAATTCACATTCAAATTGGCAGCCAAACTAATGGCACATAACAAAGTGCTCGCTCATAAAATAACATCAAGCACCGGTACTTCAGGTAGTATGTAGGGAAGCCAAAAGCTGTAGCAGGCCTTCATGAATGCAAAAAAATGACAGATCGTATCTACTTCCTTTGCCCAAGGTCCCAAGTGGCCCAGGAGAAGGGAAGACACACAGGTTTGGGAAAGCCCCTCTCCTTTTCTCCACCTCCTTCCCTTCTAAATGTGGAAGATTTGTGTTTCTCACGTGCTTTTCTCCAAAGACTAAAAGTAGGGATTGTGTTGATAATAAAAAACATGGAGATAATTTTCTATAAAGCTGTTAACACTTAAGCTTGACATTATGGTTATTGATTGTGTATGGTGTGAATGCAGTGTGGCTTTCTCTCTCTGCTGTGAGGATGTGGTTTTTGAAACCACATTCTGAAGATCAAAACAAACTGAGGAAAACAATTGTGCATATG